TTTTCTTGGATGGAATGTAATGATTTTTTAAACGGCAATTATAAATCAGTGCCTCGCTTCATAATACATGCAGCTGCTTTTTGTTATTTATTGAAATTGTACACAATGCTGATGTTACATTTTGGGTGCTCATAATCTATAAGCAAGACAGGACAAATAGGACAATATAATAGAGGCGGTTTAAAACGAGACCAAAAGGACTTGGTTCTTAATCCGTTGCACAGAATCTGTTACAATTTGTAAAATCACATCGTAGAGTCATGAATTTAATGAATTCTTACATCCCTGGTATTTGGTATCAGTACGGACATGTGTGTTGCTGCATAGGTGCTTTATTAGTGCTTGGGTAATTAGAATAAATAATGATTCATACTTTGTTTAATCTTCTATTACATTGAACAACTTGAAAATATAACCATTTATAATATTTAAACAAATATATAATGGTAATGTGTTTCAAGTGTCTGATGCTGCCGACAAATGCACCATCACGACAATCATTCTGAAAATTGTCACCAGTGATAGGAATGGCGGAGCGTGAGGTCATTTAGTAATTTCTGTCTTCATCGCATCACGCACCACCTTTCTTTCGGGGGCACCGAGATTCTGGCCCCATGGAATGTGTGTGTATGTGTCTGTGTCTGTCTGCTGCCCTTTGAACTCTCGTCTGACTGTTACTGAGCAGGTTTCCTTACTTTGCAAAGAGCACCTGTGGATGCTGTGCGCGTGATCTGTGCGCCTTGGACCGTGATTTATTCTGGCATGCTGTTGGAATTTTCTCTCCATGCCGCATTTCTGCTCGCGTTCCTTTTCTCGGTGTTTGTTTGCTTAGCGTAGCACCTCACAGGTTAAATGTCCCACCAGGTAAGTCGCCGTTTGGTGTCTTGTCACGGAAAAGTTTTACACCTTTGCTTGCAGTTTACCCGTTTTTTAAAGAAGTGTGTAAATAAGTCCTGTGCTTTTCAAGCGAGCTTCTATTAATTAAGCAATTGCCGATGATGATTGTGACAAATGAGTTGGTCACGAAGCTTATTTTTATCTCTACCGTTAAACAGAATCCACATTTAAGGAGTTCATGGAAATGACGCTGGCCTCTGTGGCATTTTATACGACATTGGCAAGTGTGAGATTTTAATGTGCCGCTAAACAGTGTTTATGGCACGGTCGCTTTGAATGCGGAAAGAAGGGAGTCTATGATGTCGGTACAAGCCATTACGTGAATGATAAAGTAATTTCTCAACATTAAAGAATAAAGCCGCTTTGCTCCGACAGCCGTGCCGGACTCGCTCAGCGCGGCCATTAAAAGCTCCCATTTTCATGGTTAATTTGAGCCCGAGCTTTCAAGTTAAGAAACGTCTCGCGCACAATCGCTCCAAGTTGATAAATCGCCGTTGCCGCCGAGGCGCGCCCATTCTTCTTTGTGGACACTCTGCGGGGGACAGTTTGAAACTGCGTTTGAAAAGTTCACAAATCATCGGGAGAAATCCTTTTTCTAGTGGCCACACATGGACCTGTCTGTTTCCCTCAAATACGTTTGTATTAATGTGTGGTGGCACGTTCTGTTTGGCTGAAGCACCCAGTCTTTTATTCAGGGGTTGGTTCGTCTCTCAGGATCCACAGTGACAGTGTGGTTTTTTTTATTTTGACGATTCCAGCCCTTTGTCAACCTACTTCTGGATGAAGGTCTCCCCACGTTGTGTCCGCCATGGGAGTTTGATCATACTTGGCCATGCTTGTCAGTGCTGGTTTGGGGAATGTTAAAGCCCACGACTGGTTTAAATATCGCTCTCCATTTATGTAAAGCGTCGCCAGGAACGCAGGTCGCTGGGTTCGTGGCACAGTGCGCTAATCTCTGCGCCACCGCTGCACCCCGGTGTAAAAGGCATTGTGGGTATCGCTCGTAATGTATTCACGCCGTCAACTTAGTGCTCTCACAATCTCATTAAGTTGTATACATGGATGTTGAAATTTCTTTTGCACCGTACGTAGCCAACCGTGATAATCGGAGGTGCAGGGGAGGACAACAAGTTAAACACAAAAAGCAGTTAAAATGAAATGAGTTTTCAATCGAGATTTGAAAGTGCATTACTGCAGTGGCTTCCTAATATCGGAAGGAAGGGCATTGCAGACGGCCGCAGAAGCGCATCTGAAATTGCGCCATGCAATGACCATCTTTGTTCGATGGTGATCCAAACTTGCATTGCTGAGCAAGAGTTACGACACATTCCCATGTTTAAAATACTTTTTCTTCTCATTATACGATTCTCCAAAGAGATTACTGCTGCTCCACGGTAGATGACACCTCAATATTTGTGCACTCGCGCTTTAATCTCCCGCGTTGTCAGCGCGCGAGAGCGCCTGGCGCGCGTTCGCGAGGGGCCCCCCGTGCGATCGGCGCCCACGCCGTTCTGATGAAGCGCACGTTCGGCTCCCCGATCCCCGCGTGCTGCGCGGAGGCGTTGGCAGCCACAGCGAGCCCCCCCGGCGGGCACCGCTCGGCGTCCCCCCGTACCGCTGTGGCGCCGCCGTCCTCCGGCGTGGGACGCGGAGCCGGATTGGTGCCACGGTTTCGCGTGTTCCATCTCGCCCGCGCTGCATGAGATCGCCCGAACAGACAAATAAATAAGCAGCTCTCCGCATTCGGCAAAAATACCGTGGCCTTAAAAGGAACAATACATATATTCTTGGCAATGATTCAGGCCCTTCTTTGTTACACGCACATAAAATGAAATCACATGTACTGTGTGTGTTAATCTTTTTTTTATTAGCTGGCTGAGCGTAAGCCCCAGGGCCCAAATCTCCCAGCGGCCAGCAATGAGCAGCACTATTAGAAGATGTAAGAGATAAGAGCTCACACATTTCTTAATTTTTTAGACAGGTAGATAGATACATTCCAGCCATTCTTAGTCCACCATTGGATGAAGGCCTCTGCACGCAATGTCAGTCATGGCATTCGTTTTTTTTTTTACCAAACTTCACCACTTTGGCCAGTGTAGGTGAATGAAGGGGGGAGGAGGGGAGAACCGGTTTCGATCCCCCAATTGGTGGTGAAAATTCTAAACATCCCTGGACATTTTGGCAAAGCGTTAGCGATTACTCACCCATGTCTGGGCTAAAACTGAAAAAAATCTGCTCACTTACTGTATTCTCGATTGTATCATCTTCGTCTCTCGATGTAGCTGACTGCCTTCTACTCTCATGGGAGGGATACTTCCTGGCTCAAATAAAAATGTACTAAATTGCGATTGTGGCCGTTCAGTTGGTTAAGGATGATGATCGTTACGATAATGTTGACAACTACAACTTCAGATAAATAAATAATCCTGACCAACAATCGGTTTCATTGGCTGGAACGCACACCTGAAACTGGTTGCAGTTGGTGGCAGCGTCTATATAATATGACCTTTGGTCCTCCCTGTTATGGACATTAAATATCAAATTATTTAGCCCTAGCCCATGCCCCCCTCTGCTTACCCTCAGTGACTTCAGGCTGGGTGCGGTTCCATGAGCCTCTGCGTGCACTTAAGTGGTAGCTTGCAAGGCCTGCGCGTTAATACCTATTCTATAATACATTTTTATTTGACTAGGTAAGGCCCTCTGCGCTATATATCTCTTTTTCACAAGCAACCTGGCCACATATGATAATTCAACAAAGTGGCTTATCATGTGTAAATCTGTAGCAGCCAAATACTCTAAACGCACGTTTCTAAATGTGGAGGGAAAAACCTGAGTATCCAGATAAAAATTCACACGACCACGGGGAGACCATGCAAACTCCAAATATACAGGTTGGGATCAAACCCACAACCTCCGACATACCAGGAGAGACGTAGTTAACATCTCTCCACGGCGGCACCCACCTCAGTAATTCTCAATTATGCCAGAACTAATCACGTACAGAAATGTGCCAGTGTACGTAATGAAATTACCCTGTAATTAATGGACGTCGATTATAAATAAATGTTCTGTTTATTTAGATTACCGTTTTTGTTTGCCATTAGTTGTCCTTCCTTTGAACTAAGCATTCTTTAGATTATTGTTTTGTTGCTTTGTAGATTTAAAAACAAAAGTAACTCTGTTGATGATTCATATTTTTGTTTGCATACATAGGATGGGAGCATTGGCACAGTGGTTAGCATGCTGCCCATCTAACCCCCCGACCACCTTAGTTTGATACCCGGCCACGGCTGACATCAGTGTAAAGTGAAATCTGAGCTGGTCTTGGAACCCCAACTACCAACCCGGTCCGACCTGTCATGGTGATGTGTGGTCAAACCACTAATGACTGACCTGGCATGGTGAGGCCTTCACCCATGGGTCTCTAACGTATTGTTTGTATGCATGTATATGTATGCATGTATGAGGTGATGCATTATGTTTACCTTAAATTCAAATTTTATTCAAGACTCACTCCTTCCTCGTCGCTTTCCCTTAAGTGTATTTTATCTGATTTAATCTCTGAATTTGTTTGTAACTATAGTTTTATACCCCCCTTGAGTGGGGTGACATTGCATATAAAATACAACTTTTTTAAACCTTTAAATTGAAATGCACATCCAGGACTCGTGCAAGCAGCAGTGGTCCTCTGGTGATGCCTGCTCATTGAGGGTGTCTGCTGGGCATTGCATTGAGCGAATTGCTCAAAGAGGATTACCCGTGGCGATTCGATCAATCATCACAATTCACCGTCGGGATTTGTTTCAATAATCGATCATTTGTCGTCTTGTTTGTTACTGTCTCGTTTGTGTGACCATTTTAACTTCCCCCCCACCTCGTATCAGTCGTACAGATCCGTCGGCTGTTGTTATCCTTTTTGCACGTTATTTACGTAAATCGTAAATAATCGGTTCTCCCTCGCACACGTGCGCTCGAACTAGATGATGCGTGTATCGCTAATGTCAAAATGTTGATTAAACGATGCGTCCGTTGTACGTACGCGCCCCGTGTTTACACGACCGCGACCGACGCGTGTGCGTGTTTCTGGTCGCGTTTCTCCTCAGGGCAAGGTGGCTCAGACCGCCTGCATGTCCGCGAGCAAGCACCTGGCATCGAGGCTCCTGCAGCAAATCCTGGACGTGGAGGTGAAGCAAGTGACCATGGGGGCGATCCAGCAGTTCAACCTCGACCTGGTCCAGTGCGAACGTGAGTGGGCGCCGGGCGACGCTCGGGAGGCACGGGGCATGGCGAGCGGTTGCGGTGATGACAGCGCTGGGTAACGCAGGATGATGTGGGGGAATGCTGGGTAATGCAGGGACACGCGCGTTAACGTGGGGGAATTCTGGGTAACGCGGGGTAATGCGGGGGAACACGGAGGGGGAGGGGGACAGCTACCCGTCGACGGTGCAGGTTAAGGGTGAACGCAGAGGGAATGTGTATGTGCCCTATACATGGCGTTGCTTAACTAATTGTTTTAAAAAATATTTGGTGACGCTGCATCCATCGGCAATGGTGCAGAAATTCGACACATTTTCGTTAACAACCCTGTGTCCTTTAAAAGGAGAAATATATATTGCAGGCTACGTTTCGGGCAATGGCCCTTCTTGGCCCTACTTTTATTTTGGGCCTTTTGCAAAGCACATGACGTGCTATCTACGTAAGGGAGTCAGTGACATATTTATTGAGTTTAAAAAGAAAAGAGTAGAAATGAAACAGTACGTTTGAACTTTTAAGGCAGCATTGTAGTCTGGTTTATTCATCAGTACAAAACCTGTTTGATTTTTGCAGCTATACTTTTTTAAAGTCTGCAATTTATGAACGAGCAACCGATGTATTTTCCACCACTTTATTAAGTTACATTTTGATACGGAATGGAAAAGTTGAAATACTTTGAGGATATCACGGTGGATTTTTAAAAAAATCTGGTTCCAAAAAAGTCACTTTGCACATTACCCTTATAGATCAAAGGCCAAAAAAGAGCGTAATCTGAACTAATTGAACCGCTCCAAATGGAGCAGTGGTTAGCGCGCTACTCTACGATCCCAGTTACTCGAGTTCGATTCCCGCTCACGGCCACCACGAGCAGGGCCTGGGCCTCCCCTAGATCAACTCGGCCTCAAATGAGTACCTGGTACGGTGTGTAAACATTGCCACTGGGGATACAAAGGTGGTGGCTGGGCGTAGTGCTGGCTGCCAAACTCCTCGTGTGCCGTGCCGGCCTTCGTAGGTGCTCACGAACAGCACTTGCCCCAAAAGTCTTGTTCAGGCTATACGAGCAGGTCTTTGTTGTGAACGCCGAAATAGACGTTAATGATTATTACAGTTAGAGAATGCATTGAGCTGCCCGGTTGCACGTGGTGCAAGCTGGCGGTGATTAGAGGAAACAAGACATGGCCAATGGAGACCAGCCTTTCACTCAGAATATCTGATTACGCTTTGCGGCGTGGGTCTGAAGGAATTTTTACAAAAATGGTTAAAAGAAGAAAAAAATGAGAGCGTTTGATGTGAAAGGGCCCCCCCTCTCTCTCCCTTTTCCGTTCTTCCGCTTGTGTAATAACGTGCAGCTCTTGTCACTCGCGAAAAGAGGGATGCGATTGTTCAAGATCAGTTTGTGTATCCGCCGGTTGCCACGGAAACTCCTTCAACACGGTGCGAGGAAACGTGCTGCCTCGACGTCGTTAATAGCTACGCGAACATTCGTAGCGGCGTAAGACGCCGTCCCTCGTCAGGCGTTTCGTGATCAATCCGCAGCTGGATGAATGGCCTCTCCAAAGCCGTCGCCATCTCTCGCGGTCCTGCGTTGCAACAATCCATCCGGCGGATGAGCTTGATTTAATCACTCCGTCTCCGTGACAGGCGTGCTGTCGGGTGTGTTTCCTCCTTTGGCTGCCACTACGTCGTTTTTTCCAACCGCCGGTCATCATCCCTTTTTGCTGCGTGGGTCCTGCCTACCTGCCCCCAAGCCCATTTACTTTATTTAACCCTTTCTCGTTCTGACATGACTGCAAGTGACAGGGTGGGTCCCCTTCACCGCTGAATCTCGGGAAGCGCAAGCGGTTAGCGTTCAATTTATTTCTAGAGGCATAGCGTCGTTTCTAAAGACATTCCACTCACCGCAGAGAACTGTAGCGACACGACCACACTGATGATAGCTGGTCCCAACCTGTGCCACATGCCCTCCCGCATGGCCTTGTGGTAGCCTCGGTACCGATAAAGTTATTTTTGTTTTTCTTTCAATGACGTACACGTATACATTCGTGTACGTCAACGGAATGGAATCGGAAATAAAACTGATGACGTACACATACGTCATCATGAACGGGAAAGGGTTAAGAGTCAATATGGAATTACAGTTCCAAAGAAGAACACGTGGGTTAGAGGATGTCTGTAATTTAAAAAGCATAATTTTGCCTGTTAAGATAAGCAAAAGGCATCGATGACTTTACAATAAACCACATGAGTAGCTATTAAAGTTGTATTTTTTAATCCAAAGCAACCTACATTGAAGTGTTTATAATCTGGCTCAATTTTTTTATGTGATGATAACGATCCAAGCAGGTTCATGTTGAGAAAGGGATGTGTGATTTCGCACAATCACGTCCACCCATGTGCACAGGATGGCAGCAAAACAAATCCCCCCACTGTTCTTGTTATTAGACAATGCATTTATTTCATGGTGATATGAACGGGATGCTTTAAATAGTATTTGTTGTGGTGTTTCTCACAGTAGGCAGTTATACCCATATACTTACTTTTGGCTCAATGCAACATTACAGGCATATTTATTTGTGCATGTACATTATGTGTATATGTACGCATGTTAATATTGATATATATAGCCTATGCTTTTTGTATATGCATTATACATTTCTAGACCATACACATGTATAATGACAATAATGTATAGCCCTATCTCAATCCACTGCTGGATGAATGCTTACCGCATGCCTTATATATGCATTAAAACATACGCAGTGTCATGTAACTATTTAAATATCCATTGAGTCCCAATCATCCGTTTGATATAATCGATTTAGTTGAAATTGTCTCTCTTAAAACCATAAACTGTAGGACTACACCACCACTGCCCTGAAAAAGTGTGTCCCCTTCAAAAGTCGGAAAAAATATTTACGCGCGACTGTTGTTCGCTTTCAAATGCATACGTGATGCAAGTCGGAAACGTATTTCTTCCCCCACTTCAATAGTAATCGGAAACCCAGTGTATCTGGCCAACTGTGAAAGAGGGGCAAGGAACGGGGGGAGGGAGGGGGGGGGGCCTGTCGTCACGCGAACCCCAAAAATCCCTCGCTCCCGCAGCCACGGCAAGAAAAGCTCTTGCTGACCGTGCGGAGCGCCCGGGCCTGTGCCGGACAAGTTTAGATTGATGGCTCGTACTACAAACGAACCGCGAGCCTCGACAAGATCTACGCCCTTTGTAGCCGTTAGCAATGTAACCAGCAGGTTTGATCAGCAGCCCGTGGCCAGCCGCAATAGCCCCTTTTCAGTTCCACTGCTCGGCAGGTTAAGACACACGTGATTGATGGCCTTCACAGCAGAATGCCGGGCGCCGCTGTGATTTGTTATTTTTTATACCCCCCCCCCCACCTTTTTTTAAATTTTCACTTTGTCGCGAGGTCGTCTTGTACGTTAGGACGTTTTGTCTGCCGCGGTGGTTGTGATGTTGCATTTGCCGAGGCTTTTGTTGACCGCAGATTGGCGCTACTTTAAATGCGCTCTTGGTTGATTTTGTGAATGATGGCCGAGGAAATCGGTAACTAGCGGTAACTTTATGAATGATTAAATCCGGCGGAATGCGTACACGCATTCGCACGTTCAGCTAAAGAAGGGGTTATTTTCGCGCAACGTTTCTGCAAAGTGAAATAACCGTAAAGGTAAATGTTCCTCATTGTCCTTCGGGAATAGAGCACCGGTTGTGGAGGATGGGTCTCGAACTACTTTAGTGCCTCTGTTTAATAGCAAAGAGGCTAAAGACCGTGGACCCTTATCTCTGGAATTGGCTGCGTGCAATTCTTATGTGATGCGAGTTTTCCGAGATTTTTTTCTAAAATTAATCAACCTGATCATTTGCTTCACCATAATATGATTTTTGCGGTGAGCATGACTTTGATAAACATCTTACGTTTGTAAATACCCTGATCATAATTCCAAAAAGACAATTTGCATAATTGATCCTTTGGAAACCGGGTGCAAATTTTCTTTTAATTACGTAACATTGGCGATCTCATTACAGGTTTGTGATTTGACTTTTTTTTTTAGTACTGTGCATTTGATTTGATAAGTTATCGCTTGCTAAAAAAAACTGATCATCTCATTACCTCTATCATCGTGCATTACAAACTTAGCAGTAGAAATATTCAACCATGTATTTGTTAATAGAATGAAATGACCTTACATCAGAACTCTGTGTGTGTATATGTGTAAAATAATGCACAGTTAAGGATTCGTTATCAGAATCTTTATTTAGACTGATGTCCAGTTAGCCCTCATTGGAGAATTTAGAGCCAAGGAAGCACAGACGCTGCAACAGCGCAACACTGTTCCCCATGTGGGCAGCGAGCATTGATTGATAACGAAACGGAGTTAAATTGTAACGGGAAATCTGAGCGTCTCCTCTGAAATGGCCTTAAAGGGTGGCAATTAGTTCACATTGAGGAAGTTTATCGATTTGATCGCTGGCCGAAAACACATTTTCTTTGCTACAATTACATCGGTATAGGCGGATGGTTCTAAAATCGAAGTGTAACCATCGACCCTTTCAGATTGATAGAAAGCCTTACGTGAAATAGCATAATTAGCTCAGCCAGGATGAGCCACTGAACTAACTACAGTTGTGACAAAAACTAAAACACGTTTTGAATTTAACGAAATTCCTGCCAGTGTTTTTTTTTATTGGCTTTAAGCAAATAGATGTTGCGCAACACACTGTCAAGAGTTGTCACGATTGGGAGACGCCGTGCCCTCGTTTCACGCCCGTGTATTAACCCTTTCCCATTCCGATGACGTACCTACACGTCTCCCATCCTACGTCATTTGTTTTTCTTCCGAACGAGAAAGAGTTAATATACGCAAGCTTCAGATCTCAAAACTCCTGCAATAAATAAAATCACTTTATTGGTGCTGATTCTCCCAAAAGGCCATACGGGAGGGCGTGTGGTACAGTTTGGTGCCAGCTATCATAGAGTGCA